TTCAGAGATCAACTATAACAAGTTTTCCTTTGAGTTGCTCTTTAAATAGTGAAAATGCAGTGTGAAGCCCTTTCTTACTGTAGGAACCAAAGTTGCTGTTTGTTTGATTCAAAGGCAGAAAAATGTTTTTATTATTCAAGTTGACTGGATGCAAAACAAATTGCCAAAGTGCAGAGTGGATGACATTCATTTTTTCATCATGTGGCATTCTGTTGGATAATGTTGTTATGGTAACACACCAGTTGAAAAGCCTAATATGCCATGTTTAACTTGTTTGTGATGCAGTTGTTCTGTTCCTGTATAATAAATGAATATAAAACACACTCTCCGAAGAAACAGAGAAGTGTTGCTATATGTCACATTTTTCCACTCTAAAACTGTGCATTGGTGCTAGAAAAACTTTGCAAAGAGTTGGCTTGCACTAAAACCATGCAAGAAGTCGTCCATATTACAGATCTTGCATCCGTCTTAGTTGCCGTGCCCACTGCACATATTCACAGTCAAAAGTACCATTGTAGTTGTGACCAAATGAATAATATCTGCCTTGTTTTTTGCCTCTCAGTCCTGAAGACCCTCTCTGATCCTGAGAATCTCCCAGCCATGATCTGCTGCGCACATGGCAAAGATCGGACAGGAGTTGTGATAGCTTTGGTGCTAAGCGTTCTAGGAAAATCAGACGAGTATATTGCAGGGGAATACAGTTTATCTGAGGTCAGTGGGCAGTGGGAGATATGGATTTTCACTTCTTAATATAGTGCTTGAGAGTGACATAGGTAACAGAACTCCTCAACCAGTGGCAGAATTCTTTGAATTTATTTGCCGATAAGCTTGACAAGACATTCAAGAATTATGCTCAGCTGAGCATTTTTTACCAGTGACATTTCTAGGTTTATGGACTTGATCAGGGCACAAAAGTGATTTTCTTTCTAAAAATGGCTGTCCAAATACTTCCCCACCCAAAAAAATATCCTTTTAGCCTCCCCTCCAAAAAAGTGGTAGTACCAATTGGAAAGTGTACATGTAAATTCTTTCATTCCCTAAAATTAAAAAACAAACATGTCTGCCCCCTGGCAAGCCACTGCTCATGACTAGATACAGAAGAATAAAACAAATATTATACTACTTGACTTTTCATGATCTGTTAAATAAAATTCAAAACAAATGATGACAAAAATGAAAATCAGTAAAGTATTATCAAAGGATTTGTTTGCTTTGAACTGCCAAACAATCTTCAAACAGTACATCTGATTGGTATCATGCAGTGCATCAACCTTTGTTTAATCCTTGCAGAAAGGGCTGGAACCCATCCTGATTGAGCAGAAAGAGAATCTCATGCAGTACCTCCCCGATGAATCTTTTCTCCTGGCTAGAAAGGAAACAATGCTGGAGGTTCTTGACGCCACCAGAAAAATGTAAAAAGAACTAAAACATGTGCCCAGCACACACACAAAAAGCATGTAAAGGCCATCAATCAAAGGCACAATCTTGAATCTTTTGCTTCCAGAAATCATAACTACCGAAAAAAAAATTGGAATTTGCATTGAAGAAAATTTTGGAAATCTTTCTTTGAAAACTTGAACAACAATGCCAATGTTGATTTTTCTGGTAATTCAAACATTCCTCGTGTTTTTGAATTCCTAGGTATGGATCAGTGGAGAACTACCTGGAATCCATCGGCTTTGGCAGGGAAGACCAGAACAAGTTGCGGCTGGCTCTTGCTTAAAACTGCTCCTCTCATTGGATACACTGAATATGGACATGAATATAATATACCTTAAGTTTAGTCTCATTGAGCTCTCTGACAACTTCAGTTTTATTTTACGGTTTGTAGAGATGACACAATTTTGTTCCGTTTCCCAAAATTCTGTTCAATTGTGACCTTGGAAAACGAGACTGATGTTGGAATGTTCCACTTTCTTTAGGTTGTCTTAGAAAAAATGGAATATTCCAGGGATGCTATTTTGTTTGAAATAGTTAACCTTCCACAGAAAATAAATCTTCATGAACCATGAGGGATACTTCCTCAAGAAGAAGAAAGTTACACTGATCCAAAATACAATTATGAGTACAGAAGTGTTTTGCTGTTATTGATGGAATTTCTAACTAAGATTAAAGTTCTACAACACAGGTTATTCGTGCATGAACCTGTTGGAAACCAAACCATCTATCTGCATATCATGTGGTTGGTCAAATTCAGTCATAATGAAAAAAGCCCATCAAATCAGGCTCGAGAAAAAATTCATTATCAAATACAATATTTGGATAATGATCGTGACTCCTGTAGACTTTGAAACAGCAAGCAAAGTGGCAGGCATCCTCATGATCCATTGTTGTATATACATTCTTTGATTCTGATGCATACGGGGTCACTGATTTATGACAATGTTATCTTTTAGGCACCCTTAATCTGATGGTAATTACTATTTGGTCTCTAACTTAGATATGTCATCATCTTTGGATTTTTTTATGTAGGTCATTAACGTGACCTGTTGGGAAACTCATATCAAACTTATTCTAATATTTGCTTTTATCATCAAAATGTCAAATCATAGGTTACAAATAGCACCACTTCATGGAGTGGTGTTGGAGGCCTAGTGACGGGCATTAATTATTTACAATCAGCAATTCAATTAAAAATCCTCTTGGATGAAAGTTTTCCCGTTCAAATAGCCATTTAGCCAATGCTGCACAGAGAATAACTCCTTGTGTATGTGTATTATTCATCCCAAAGCAGTTACATCCCAGTCAGCCAGGTTGCCCAAAGTGTCCTCGGTCTGGGCCTGGATTACCATTAACACAAGAGTCCTATATTCTGCATGTCCAGTTCTGCCCAGGCAGCAGCACCAAAAGACCCTAACTTTACATTTCATGTCGATTCTCATCAGTTGTGTTGCAGCAGCTGGTTTTAAGCTTTGCTAAATTGGAAAATTCAAAGACAGAAGTTACAACTGATTTATAAAAACTCAGTTTCATGGTGCCATGCGGTAGTTTCATCTATAGGCTCTCACTGTTTCAAGGGCACTAGGCACACTGCCTACAGTACCTGGTAGATAATCTGGCCCTTCCTTAAGAGAAGGAAAAAATCCTGTCACAGTCTGTCTTGGTCAGTGTTTCACCTTTCACTTCATGAGAAATGAGAACAAGGTACAATGAGGTTCAGATCCTAAAGAGTCATTCTCTAGAAAATGAGGAACTCCCCCCCCCCTGTGTACCCCAGTTACGCTTACCACTGACCAGAAGGGTACTAAAAATAGACACCATGTGCCTGTACCCTTCAATTCATTGGGGATTCACAGCTATTTACCTTGGCAAAAGAAGCCTTTTAACCTACCCCCCTTAAAATATAGGAATGTTCACCTGTGTTCAAATGTGATGGGTTTTTATGTACTTACTTCAAGAGATTGCCAAGGTTCAACAACTGCAGTCATGTACTTTTCCAATATGTTTTTGAGGAACAGTGTCACATCATAGAGTATGATGCAATTTCCTGGAACTTCAAATTAAAGACTTCCATTTTTAATGTGTTTTGCAAGGAGTGGCCAACGGATCCAATTAGGCCTCTAACTTATTTTTGGGGGGCAGGAAAATAAGCTACCTGAGACTTATCTTCCAAGTCTTGCTTCTTTCTTGATTTTTACAGTCTTTTTAAAAGGTGGATTTGCCATTACTCACTATCAGTTACGTTTTTCATGTTATTTGCTTTGGAACTTACTTTACACAGGTGGTTTGCAGCAATAAATAAATCAAATATCGTGCTGAGATACAAGAAATACATGTATAATCTGCACTGTTAAAACGGACGAGTAATCCTTTCAGAATTTGTGCTTACCATTTGCCCTAAATGTCAAACGTAGAAGGGTATATTGGAAGTTCAAATTTCCCATGTGCACAGCATAGCACAAGGTGGTGTATCAAACTTCAAAGTGTAACTCATTTTAGAGATGGTCTATACCATCCAGTAGAGTCGCAAACTACCATTCCTGAGTTTTTGGTGTCACAGGCTTTCCTGCTGAGAGTGTAAACATTTGCCTTTTACTTCAGTGACTTCATTACAAGAATGCCCCTTCTAATGAGCCATATATTTAATGGATGGACTAAATCCCCTTTTTATGAAGTTATACCAATATGAGAAAAGTTAAAAACTTCCCTAAAAGGCTCATCTGGTATTCTCTGGTCGCACTTTGAAAAAAAGGAAAACACTTGAACTTTAAGTAAACAATTGTTTAAACTTGGATACATGAACATCTTGGTATCAA